CCATAATTTCGAGATGATGCATGCGGATTCCAGTTGGACACTTACAAAAGCATTCAATAACAAATCGGACATCGCTGACAGAAAGTTGCTCTGTGAGAATTCGGGATATACTTGGAAAGATAAGAAAGGAAACAATGAACTGAATGGAGCAGTAATGAAGTATTGAAGAAGCAACGGCAATCACATACAAAACCACCTGAAAGAACGCAGGAAGGCAAGCTGAAATTCGCTAGGCATATTTTGAGGCGTGATGACAATAAAATATGATGTATGGAGTATGAATTCAGTATGACCTGCAGTATGAATTGCAAATAGTCATGTGGTAAAAGGCGATTGACTCGTGGTGATCGAATCAAAATCGATCTGAAGTGAGACTTGCTGGATTTCAAAATGGCAACGTCACTTCATGATCAAAGCATTAACACCACGTGAAAAGTCCAAAGTGTTTACAATATATCAGAAAGAAATGCGTAATATGTGCAAATACCATAATAGAAAGAACGCACATCAGTGCAGTAGCCTCAAGGGCAATCCGCAGTTGAGATTGCTTGTTAGGAACTGGATGATGCAATCACTGAATTTCCTCCCTGATACCTCAAAACTTCCGTGGTTCGTAATTTAGAACCGCATTCATTCCACTAAAATCCTCGAGAAATTCTCTCAATACATTTGGCACAACTGCTATCCAGACGATAACAGAAACGACTGAATATAATTTTTTTGATGGAAGAGATGATACGAATCCTCAAGTTTTTGCCTCATTCGCTAAGGTGCTGTTCGATGAACTCACCAGAAATATCGCCATCAAAAAGCGGGTTCTCGGTAACCTTCAGACCAGGATGTGGCAACAAATAGCAACCGATGCGATTGAAGCAATCCTCGAGTCGCTGCCGCGTCAATGCGCCTTCATCATTACCCGAGCACTGAAATTCATTAAGCTTCGTTCTTAGTTTATNTCAGCACATACCTTTAGGACGCTCTCCAAGTATCGTTTACCACCTTCTTGGCCGTACGGATAACTATCTGCGAACTGATAATCACGAACTGCAATTACGAGACTCTGCAAGTTCCTTCCGCTTAATGAACACATTCGAATTCAGCGAACATAATTTTTTTGTTATTGTGGAAATGGTGCATCGTCATGCTGAACGCAATTATAGTGCATTACTATCGGTTATGCCGACCTGTTTGAGCACGCCTTAATCTGTCAGTTTCAGTTGATATCTCCTTCAGTCAACATTTTCAACGGAAATAAGACCAAAAACAATCAACCACCGCCCATATGTGGTTTTATAGTACATTTTAATCCTCACTTCACACAGCCCTATCGGATTTTCATTTCTTGAATTTCAGTATTAACAATGGATAGGAAACAATTGAAGATTCATGTCAAACGCAAATATCGTGTTAAATAGATTTTCACATCCGTTCATAATTAACGGAAGTCAAAACACATCGGAAATAGCCATGGATGCAATGCTAATGTGCTTCGATCAATTCGAAGCACATGAGTATTGTTGAGGGATAAGTTGAATTGCGTGATGATGCGACTTTTACATGGGAAAATGGAAGACATCTATAAAAACTCGAATTACAAAAGGATACCTGAAGACGATCTCGTTGTGAGTCACCAGTCTTAACTTTTTCAGGCTGAACACTTCGTCCGAAATCACTGAATACTGATAAACTTTGCAGATGACTTTCGTTAATCAGCTTCATCACATTATAAATCTAGAATTGTGAATTACTAGTATATGCTCATGGCGGATGATTAGTTCAACGACACAGTGAATAAACTCTACGCATATCAGGATTACTTGCGTGGGCATGAGATCCTGAATTGAATGTGAAAGCAATGAGCAAATATTCGGTTTAGCAGTGAGCAAAAAAATATTCAGTTGAGCAAATTCCAAATAAATGTTCATATTATGTTCATATCAAAAAATATCCAAAAATTCTTATTAATGTGCTCATTTGGCGGGGTGCGTGATATGAAATTTTGATCTTCGGATTCTCAAATTGGGTGATTTCGTTCTTCAGTGGGCGAAAACGATATGCGAATTGGCGAACTTGACGAATGAGCTGGTAGAGGAGCGAATTTCAATCCTAGTGGGCGATTTTGGGTTCCACGGGTCAATGCGTGCAGCTTGGCGGTCTATAAAATGGATGCGCCCTTTGAAAGCGACATATTTGCGTAGAGATTCATATGGAATATTTGTTAATCATCATGAATCATCTGCTGCATTTGCTCGTAAAATCATTTGCCGTCGTAATGTTCTTGTTCTTCGTATCTGTTTGAATTCTGATTCTTCCCGGTTTTCTACACCACCTTCAGAACGATCACTTCTAGTGTTTGTACGATATCCTGGGATTCCGACTTTTGAACTGCGATTCGGGATCAATGTTTTATGCTAGCAAAATCCGAGATTTCGGAATTTGCATCTGATATATTTTCGGCAATTTACTCATCCTCAACTGTACTTCAGTTATTCTCAGCTCAGTCATATTCACAATAATTGTTGGTCACTGATCAAGCGAAAGCGAATGGATAGATCGTTGGATAATGTTTTTCAGAAAGTGCTGAACAAAAAGTCCGTATTATTATCATACTGCGCCGTCCTTCGTTACCACCTGTCGCATGGTAGCGACACTCCTTTTATAATATTTAATGACTTTATCCAATATTAATAATACTCGTCACTTATTAATAATACAATATATCACTCGATTCGAATAACATCATTTTGATGTTTTATTCTCTTATCTATTGTTTTATCTATAACGTATGAATAGCTCAAATGCTTAACTAAATTTCTTATATGTTACCGTTATTGTTAACCGGAATCGTACAAAGGTGTTCGTTCGTGAAATAGCTCTCCCTTTCAACGTCTCAATTCTTAATTCGGCACATCAAATTCCTCATATTAATTCAACCGTTATTGTCAATATTGTCGTCACTTCAACTGTCGTAACTTACAGTTAGACTTCTCGTAATTTCCATTCATAAATCCGTTCGCCTATCCATCGAACGTTTCGACACTATACACAATATTTTCCACTCAATATTTCCGCTACAATAGACATTCTTTTCGACACCACTGCTGTCTTTCGTTTATGACCGTTTTTCAATCCCGTGATTGAAAAATCGTCAAGATTTTTCATAAACTAATTGTAACATAATGCTAAGTAAAAGAGTAAAATTGGACATTTTGGCTGCACTGTCAGCTAGATTGGGCAACTCGATGAACAAGACTAAGACCACTATTTCCATGTATCACTCTAAAACACAACGAATCGAAATTCCATCCCTCGCTCAAATACTGAACGGATGAATGTTACCATAGAAGCCCTAGTTAATCACAAGGCAACATCTGTCCATCCTATCGCAGTCAACCAGATTTGTAATCAACTTCAAGCAGCACCGAATAACACTAACCTGTATACTACTGATCATGGTTGAAAGTCCAAAAATAGCAGCGCAATTACCAAACGATTGTGTTTTATCCATGATGCCTTGTGTGTCAATCAGGAATACAGCCAATCGATAACCTCGATCAGTTCGCAGTATTATTGGCTCGTTCCAGATCCAAACACCGGTTGTCACACGTTCAACACCTGCAATACTCGGTACAAGCTCAATCAGCACTATCTTCTCCTATGGTCAGCCTTCAATAACCGTAACATCCATTAAACTTAAGAAAGAGTCCAAAATTTTCCATTACTTATGATTTCTTCGCAAAAAATTGCTGTTTCCAACAAAATTTACCGAAATGTCACCACCAACACTGAACGAAAATCGTTCATCTTCCATATGCAAAAGACTCATGAATAATAGATTTGCTGCACTCAGAAACCTAATAGTATAAGTTAGTTTTTGTTCGAACTGACGGATGAACTGAGAAAAACTGAGGACGAGATGAAGAAGTGCTAGCAACCAACAACTGAGAACGTTACCATCTGTTACGTAACAGATGGTAACGTCTCAAATGCATTTTCATGTGTAACTTGGGAAAACAGTAGCTGAATCTAT